AATTCTGATTTTGTACTTCAGGATTGGAGTGTTTCCCAGTGCGGAGGCAGCACATATAGAGTTCTAAATTTAATTTACTTAAATCACCAAATGCATGAGACTTTACTCTTGTGATGAATTTTTAATGTAACTTGAGCAATACTCTAAAATTTTGCATTCCCTTTGCTGCCTGAACATTTTTAAGTGAAACATTCTCTAGAATATCCTGGTGTTTGTCTAGTTTATTTAAATAGTAGAACATAAACCAAACCTAGGTGAAATTATTTACAAGCTGCTTTAGGCAATTTTGATTTTGCAACTTGCACCCCAGGCACCAGGAGTAATGTCATCCATTATCTAAGAAAGTAGTCATTATGGCCTCCCATATGTCTCCATGGTAGCTGTTTCACTAGGAAATCCTGTTTCTTTATGTTACTTGAGGTGAATTGTGTTTGTTTCGATCTTGTTTCTATGCAGTTGACTTTTTTATTTTTTGATTTCGGATAAAGCTGAAATGTAAAAATGATGCTTTCTAATTTGATTGTTGTTCCTTTACTGTTAAATATAGTGGAAATCTTTATGCAACTTTTAATTTCTGTTACCAGTTGAAATAATGGATGCGTAAATGTTTCATAAAGAATAATAAGGTGTGCTCATTAAACCATTATTGCTGTTAAGAAATAACAGTAGGAAAAAGAGCACTTTTAGTGTTATTATCTTGGGTTTTAATTTTCACTCCAGAATTAATGCCATTGTGTGACCTTGTTTGGGACTTGGGGTCTTCTAGTGGAATTGGTCTTTAAGTGGTGCTGGTATCAGGTGGCATCACAGGCGTTGGTACAGGCTTGAGAATGAATACAGTGCACCATGGTCTTGGCCTCAGCAACTAGACATAAGTACACAATTAGAGATTTTTTAAAATGTGAGACCCTTGATGCAATAGATATCTACTGTTTTCCTTCTGGAGTTTCACGTACTGTTCTTCATCTCTATGTGTTTATTTCCTTTCCTTCTGTACATAAAGTTTTGTTCTGTCCTTCATGCTATTCTTTGTGGTCATTTCCATTTCACGTTCTTTGTATTTCATTCCTGTATCTTTCTTGTCTAGACCAAGTGGAGCAGCCAACTGGCAGTAGCGCCATGTAGGACCCTGCAGGAACCCAATGGTGAGTGCACTTGTGTACTTGCCAGGCGCCCTGCATTGCCTCTTGACTTACAGGCAGAGGCTGACGAGCCTCCTTGCCCCTTTGTAAAAGTTCTGCTAGGTTGGTTTGTGTTTTCTTTTTTTGGAACTGGGGATTGAACTTGGGGGCACTTTACCACTGAGCCATATCCCCAGCCTCCTTTTGTATTTTATTTAGAGACAAGATCTCCCTGAGTTGCTTAGCACCTCGCTAAATTACTGAGGCTGGCTTTGAACTCAGGATCCTCTTGCTTCAGCTTCTTAAGCCTCTGGGATTACAGGCATGGGCCACCAGGCCTGACTGCGTTTTCTTTTAATACATCTTATATGGATGACATATAGAATGAAAATCAAATATCAGGAAGGAATTTTAACTGATTTGAGGAAGTGTCATAGGCTCCTCCATTAGTGTTTGCCGTGTTTGACATCGTGACTCCAGGCATGTGTAAATGTGAGCAGGACCCTTGGTTCTGACTTGTGTCCTGCCATAGAATTGCTTTGTGCCACTGTGTCCCCAGCCTTCAGTTGTTTCCTCAAAAGAGCAGATAGGATTGTTGGTTTTGATGGTCATCTCATCTCTGCTCCGAGGCCATAATGCCAAGTGTCTTGATTAGCTGATTGTTCTGATTAAGACTGAAAAAATAGTATGTGTTGGATATCTCAGTTCCATGAATGAATGATAAAAGAGCCATGCTAGACACCTGTCTCTCATACTGAGTCTATCATGTTCACCATGTTACTCTGGTGGTAAATCTAATTGTTCTATTCCTTCATTTTTAGAATTGGTTTACAGTGTTTCTCAAGTACTTACCGTTATTTTTAATAAATATATAGACCACAGAGTCCCTATACTTTTAGTTACCCTACAACACAGAATATTGGTCTAGCTCAGTGACTCTTTCTGGGAAGATTTCCTTCCAAGGGGTATTGACCATGTCTTGAGATTGGAGTTATCACAACTAGAAGTGAGGACACTGCTGGCATTTGGCATATTCTGCAAAATATCTTCCAATGCATCTATAGCCCCCAAAGTCAGAGAATTATCAAACCCTAAATGTCATTCACATGTCAGTTGAAGATGCCTGGGTACCCTGCAGCCTTCTTGGCAGGATGCCCTTGTGGATCCTCTGCACAGCATACGGAAGATATACCTACCCCATGTAGTTTCTCTCCAAGATGGGTTATGTTTCCACAGTCATGCCTTTTAAAGTCCTCATCTTGGTGGGAGGGGGTGGAGAGAAAAGGAACTTCCCACTGATGTTTGGGGAGTCCAAAAAGGGACATCTGACATTCAGTACCAGCTAGGCGTTATGTTAATTAGGCAGGGAATAAAACTCCAAATAGCACTTTATCTTTTAGGTGTTATGCCATTACATTTTGAGTACATCTTAATAGTAATATTAAAATTGTGCTTTGTTTTATAATAATGGGAAATCTAGAAATTTCACTTAATAGTCTGTATATGTTTTCTTATTAATTAGGTTTGTGTGGCACTTGAGATTGTAAAAAATTTCTGAATTGCCTCTGGAGGGGTTATTTTAGTGACAGATTTTCATCTGTTTTTCTGTTAAATTTTATGCAGTGTAAGGTTTATGTGAAGAGGCCATGTTTAGACTACCTCTCTAATTAATTTTAAAACCTCATACAAAGTAAGTGGTCAGTAAGATAAGGTCACATTGCCTGGCCTGCTTGGGGTACCTGATTTGGTACTGATGTCTTTTGATTCAGAGAAAATCGTCTCTGAATCTTAACTTTGTAATGGAGTGTCTGAGGGCACTATGGGGCAGTGATGAAGCAGCTGTGGGTGTCCTCGGACATGAGCAGTAGCACTAGAGACTAGAGCAGTCAGCTCATACTCATAGGCAGGGAACCATTTATATTTGCATGTGTGTGGGTGACATGCACTTTGTTGGGTGTCAGTAATCTGATATAGACTGAGCATCACACACAGGAAGGGTCATACTGGGGTAAGAAAATGAGAAAGAGAATCCAAATTCCCTTAAACAAACTGGAGCCCTCAGATTAAGGCTAAGTGCTGTTAGGTTGACAAAAGGAGAAAACCTCTTAAGAGCTTTCCCACATGGAAAAGTGCCTCTCTGATTGTGCCCCTTGGTTTATAATTCTTCACCTGGTAACATTAATTGGCCATCTGTGCGAACTCACAACTTCTGTTTGTACCAGAGTGTGGTTCCAAAGGTATATGTTTGTGTCCTATTTCCATTTTAACTGACATGGGACTTGAATGGATGAACAGGTTATCATAAATGTATATAAGTGAACACTTACATAGTGTAGGTGCAAAAAATATATATATCTTTTTTTGTGGGATGAAGAATTAGTTCCTTAAAATGATATTTTAGAATTTACTTATTAAGCGCCTGGGGTTGTGGCTCTGTGCTCTCACTTGTCTAGCGTATGTGAGACACTGGGTTCAATCCTCAGCACCACACACAAAAAAATAAAATAAAGGTATTGTGTTCATCTACAATTAAAAAATATTTTAAAAATTAAAAAAAATTTACTTATTAAGGCTAACAAGCTAAATGACTTACTAAGTACCCCCCCCCCTTTTTGCTACATCTCTTAAATTTTTATAAAAATCTGGTGATGCTTTTAAGGTTTAGTACTTATTGTGTTAAATTTGTTCTCTACTTTTAATCTCAGTGATTTTTTCAGTGATGCTGTTTTGTGTCTCTGACCCCACTTTTATCTGTTGTCTACATTTTAGCTAATTATGCTCCTCTGTAGTGATTCTCTGTAATGGAGAATATTATTTTCCATGTGTTCCAGAAGCTGTGAGTGTTTTATCATTTGTCATTTTACTAATGAGGTGATAATAGTGGCAGGGTAGCTGTAGGGGTTGTTTGGGGTCAATCTGGGGAGATCAATGCAAAAAGGGAAGGGAGTATCCAGGGAAGAAGAGTGGGAGCCTGTCTGAATTGAAGACTGAGAAACACCAGTTACCATGAAAAAGAAATTTGGAAATTAAAAATTGGAACAATTACAGTTAGCAGTTTTGATCTAATCCTGAAAAAATGGAGCTTGTAAACCAATAGTCACTTGGTACTCCTTTCTGTCCAGTCGTATATGTCCACTGAGCACATTTAGGATTTGAGTTCATTGTTCTAGCTTCTCAAAGAGATGTTGCATTTTAATCTTACCTGCTAAACTGTGGGATCACTTGGAATGCAATTAGTATTTCTTGAATTTCCTTCCCTGCGTCTAGTGAAATATTGAACTGCGCTGGACTTAGAGTTGAATTCCTCAGGGCCCTCTAAGGGCTGTGCCGGCTAACAGTGAATTATTCATGATTGTTCCTCATTTGATTTTTGAGCCAATAATGGCATAAGCATGTGTATCTCTTCTAATTCAGTGGAATCTCTGCTTCCATTTTGCTTTGACAGTTATGAATCGTATCTTAACCAGAAGGGCTCCAAGTTATACTATATTGTTTTTCTCTAATAGGCTTCTTACAGATAACTGCCAGTTCTTATTATTTGTGTGGCATTAAAACTCAATGTTATTACTAATCTTTGTTTGACATCAATAATGTTCAATTTTTGAGGATATATCATCTTTTAATTTGATAGCTGTCATTATAGCTATGAGAGAAATAATAACCAAGACCTAAAAATAAATAAACAAATAAAGGACCTATGGGTTTTGTTTCCCCCCCCCCCTCTGTTATGACTTTAAAAAGTATTTATATTCATCATTTCTTTCTTTAGGAATGAAAAGTGTTTATTGCCAAGAAATACAGTTGCTATGATCGGGTTAATAATGGTTTTCTCTAAAACTCCAGAATGATAATGAATAGTGAATAAATATTGTGTTGCAGGGAAGAAAAAATCCCAAGAAAATAGAAACAAGGGAAACAAAAGCCAGGACATAGCACCGAAGACAAGTGAACCAGATTCCACCTCTGCAAATATGAGAGATTCTGTGGAAGGTAAGCTGTGACATTGGACTTGTCTGATTTGGGTATGTATTGCCAGTTAACTCTGTGACTCCATGTTTTGCCCTGCTGAGACTCATCCAACAGCTATGAAGGTATTTAGCAAAAAAGCTACCTAAATTTAATATGTCAAACAGAACTTTCCACTGGGGTTCAATCCATAGTACAAAATCAGTAAACAAACAAATAAAATGAAACATACTATGTGATTGCATTGATAATGAATATAAAGTTAAAAGTCATCAAAATAAATCTATGGAGATAGGAGCCAGACTGGCAGGATACAAGAAGGCTTCTGGGATTGTAACAATGTTCCACTATTGATCTTTGCAGTGCTTATATGGGGCCTCATTATGTTGCAAAAATTTTATTTTGATATGCACTTGATGGTTTATCCACTTTAATTTATGGATGTTTTATACTTCTAATTGATTTAACAATTTCATTGATCAGTAATTTAAATGATTGATATTCTTGATCTTTCATAATGTTAGAGGACAAGTCGCCCTGGGCTCATGCAGTTGAACCACTGTATTGGGACTATTGATGTAGAATGAAGGGGGGGGGGGGCTAAATTTGCAATGGGCAAATATACACAGATACTGGAGCTTGCTTAAGAGTTGTTCATTGAGACAACAGAAATTTCAAAATACAAATTTCAGAATACAGGCTTGTGACTCAAGAAACATTTGTAGAGAAAACAACTCAATAAAATATTTTGATTGCCTTTTATAGCCATTTATCAGCACTGTTTGTGATGATGGTATTCATAAAGAATTGCAATCTTCTGTGCCCTTATATGAAGCAAGAATAGATGAGTTCATTGGGACTTAAGTGCAGTGACCCCAAGGTGGCCTGGGGAATCAGGTGAGAGGGGGTCAGTTTGATTTTAAGACAAAAAGAATTGATGGGGGATCAGAGATCTTCCCATTTCTATACCAGAATCTTTCTTTGTGCATACTTCAGAAATAAATATCTACTCTTTGGGAGGGGGCGGGGAGAGGGGATAGATGAAACAAGTTCATTTCTCAGAGCCTTGTAAAACTAAGTTCTCTCTCCCAATAGCAGATTTGCTTAAACATTTATTTGAACAACACAAAAATTTCTAAAGGACTTCAATTACCTGTGTGGCATGTTAAAATTTTTAAAACATGTTTAAAATGTGGCAAACATTTTTTTAAAAATTCAGGAGTCCCCTCCTGCAGTAATTCAAGACAATTATTTTTTCCTCATTATCATTTCCCTTGAAATGATTTCCTAAGTTCATTATTCCTAGGAAATAACAAAAGGGCTAAGACCAGATGATTGAACTAGTATTCATATTTGCATTTGAAGAGCTTGCAGCACTTGGCCCTTTCTTTCTTTTTTTTTTTTTGGACTTCTTATTTGTTCTTTTTAGTTATACGTGACAATAGAATGTGTTTTGACATACATACATGGAGAATAAGTTATCATTTTTGTGGTTGAATATGATGTGGAGTTATACCGGTCATGTATTCATAAATGAACGTAAAATGTTATGTTCTATTCATTCTACTATCTTTCCCATTCCCCCCTGCCATTCCCTCTGTCCAATCCAGTGAGCCTTCACTTCTTCCCCCACCCCCTATTGTGAGTTAGGATCCTTATATCAGAACATTCAGCCTTTGATTTGGGGGGATTGGCTTATTTCACTTATCATGATAGTTTCTTGCTCCATCCTTTATCTGCAAATGTCATAATTTTACTCGTCTTTAAGGCTCAGTAATATTCTATTGTGTATATATACCACATTTTCTTTATTTATTCATGTGTTGAAGGGAACCTAGGTTTGTTCCGTAGCTTAGTTATTGTGAATTGAGCTGCTATAAACATTGATGCGGCCATGTCGTTCTAATATGCTGACTTTAAGTCTTTTGTGTATATGCCGAGGAGTGGGATAACTGAGTCAAATGGGAGTTCCATTCCAACGTTTCTGAGGAATCTCCATGCAGATGGCCTTTTCAACCCTTCCTTCTCCCCATTCTCCAGGATAGTCTCCTGTCTATCAACAGCCTCTTGTATCTAGACAGTTGGGCCACTCTTCTGCTTCTCCTTAACCCACTGCAGCTGAATCTCCCAAGTGGTACTTACTTGCCTTAAAATAACACTGTTGGCTACTCCGTATCCCCCATAAGTCCACACTTGCTTACAGTGTCCTACATGCTTTTGATTCCTCCCTGCTGGAGTGCCCTCTTTTGTTTTGAGTCTTAGGCCCTTCAGTTTGGGCCTGCTTAGTGCTTCCTCTAAGAAGCCTTCCCTGATTAGCCCAGCTGAAATAGCCGCTCCTCCATGTGCTTCCAAAGCGCACATACTTCTATAAGTACAGCCATTAATTTATTATATAGTTGCCTCTGCTCCTGGTGTGTAGCTCCTTTTAAAGTGAAATTTTTACTTTGCTGTAAAAATGAATTATCCACTTTAATATATGTTAAAGATAAGGTTAAGTCTTTTGATGGTATTGTTTACCTAGAGCTGCATCCATTGCGTGCTCAGTGAACGAACTGTCAGGAAAATGAGTTCACTTGGCTTGCAGAAGTCATCATAGCTGTGCCTCCTCTATAGGTGTAGCTGGTGATACTCCAGGGTAGGTTGTATTGTGGACTGTCCTCACCAGCATTCACCCTGCAAGAAGGGAGTGATAGCTCCCTTCTTGAAGGATCCTCTGTTGTCCCTTTGTTACCTTTCAACCACTAAACTGTTTCTTTTTCTTTACAGAGAATCCTGAAAGAGGTGCTTACAGTTTCTTCATCTCTCCTTCCTCTTCCATTTTCTTTTCCTTTTTTTTTTTAAATTTTTAATTGTAGATGTACACAATATATTTTATTTATTTATTTTCACGTGGTACTGAGGATCAAACTCAGTGCCTTACATACTTGCTAAGCAAGCGCTCTACCACTGAGCTACAGCCCCAGCCCTCCTCCTCCATTTTTTTATGAATTCCATTAAGCATTTGTTCTGCTACACCTGTTCCAATCAGCAGCCCTCCAGCTTGGCACATGCAATGTCCTATTCCTAGTCCTTATCTTGCTCAGCCCATCAGCTGATCATTATCTCCTTGACCTAAGGGTCATACTCTGGGTTCTCCGGATGTCACCTGGGACACAATTCTCTTCTTGCTTCTATTTGCATCTACTTCCTAGGTGACTTTGTCCAGTCTGTTACTCTTAATTTTACCCTGAGGACTTGGACATTCCTAGACTCAGCCTCTTTGTTGAACTTAAGATTTATGGAAAACTATCTTGTTAATGTCTTCACTGGGACATCTACCTTGGAACCTTAAACTTAAGCACACCCAGAGTAAGCACTTGCCCCCTGTGCCCTAGTGTGTGTACATCTGCAGACCAGACCTGCTTCCCCTCAGTTTTCTGCAGTTCAGTGAACAGGACTGTTAGTTTCGTGCCACTCTCCTTGGCTCCTGTCTCACGGTAGCCAGCCAACAAGCACATTTGGTCAGCTTTGTTTCCACGGTACCTATCCAGAGCCTGAACACTTCCTCCCACCTTCCCTCACCTTGCTGCCTCTGTGTCAGGATGGCCTTCCTGACTTCCTTTAGCATGATCTTGACTTTGAGGTTACAAGTTACTTTTTCTCCCATCTGGAGGGTGTTTTCCCCTAAATATTTTCATGGCTTACTTTCTTTAGGTCTCTGTCCATCCATACCTTACGAGCAAGTAACTGTCTCCCCTCCCATCTACCCCAGGTTGAGCTTTGTTTCCTTCAGTGATGTACTCTGGATTTAATAATTTAATCAGGTTTACAAGAGGTGACCTGCAGTCTTTCTTGGACTCGAAAAACTTCTGACATGGTTCTGGAAGGTGTTCTACTTTCTAAATACATAGTTTTGTTAGAGGTGAGAGCGGATCATCCATTTGACACACTATCAAGAATCTAATCGAGTAATGTGTTTAGCAGTTTTCTTGTTTCAGTTTGTAATCATAAGAAATTGGAATTTATAATTCCTAAAAATTAATCTGGGCAATCCCACCATAATTGTAAGCACTGTAGTTTCTGTAAACAGACATATACATGTAACTAAATGCAGAAAAGTAAACACAGTGTGGACATTCTTATTTGCTAGGTGTCCAGACAATGTCACCTGGCATAAAGCACAGACTCTGTGAATATATGTTGAATGAATGAAATGGACTTTTATCTTTTAAAAATATTTTTAGTTGTAGATGGTCACAATACCTTTATTTTGTTTATTTAGGTTTTTTTTTTTTTTTTTTTTAAATATGGTACTGAGGATCGAACCCAATGCCTCAGGCATGCTAGGCAAGTGCTCTACCACTGAGCCACAACCCCAGCCCTGGACTCATATCTTAATCTGTCTTTACAAATGAAATACATAAACTGGAAGTTAATTTATTGTTAATCATACTTCTTTCCCTTACACATTAGGTGATAAGAGAAATGAATCATAGCAGTGGATTGTAGAGTGGCTAGTTTTGCCTTCACCTCTGTGCTTCTGCTTCTGTGCACTTTCCAGGTCCCAAAGAAGGAGAAGAGAGACATCCAGCTGCAGCCCCTGAGCAGCCAGCCCTTCTCCAGGAGGGGGTCATCCAGGATGCACCACCAGAACTGCCGATCTCCCCTGCTGCCCAAGAACCACAGCCAGAGCCAGATGGAAAACAAGAAGCCACAGATTGTGAGGTGAATGATCTGGATGAAGAAGAGGAGGATGAGGAGGAAGAAGATGACGACGATGATTTGGAGGAAGACGGGGAGGAAGAAGGCGACATGCCGAACGAAAGCTCTGTGAAAGAGCCTGAGATCCGGTGTGACGAGAAGCCAGAGGATTTATTAGAAGAACCAAAAAGCATTTCAGAAGAAACTCCTGAAGACTCTCCAGAAGGGACACCTGTGGTCCAAATCCCCAAAACTAAAGAGGAGGCCAACGGTGAGGCGTTTGAAGCGTTTATGTTTCCATGTCAGCACTGTGAAAGGAAGTTCACCACCAAGCAGGGCCTTGAACGTCACATGCACATCCACATGTCTACAGTCAACCATGCTTTCAAGTGCAAGTACTGTGGGAAAGCCTTTGGCACACAGATCAACAGGAGGCGCCACGAGCGTCGCCATGAAGCAGGGTTAAAGCGAAAACCCAGCCTGACACTGCAGGCATCAGAGGACCTGCCTGATGGCAAAGTTTGTGGAGAAAATGTCACTCCTAAAGATGAATTGAATCCTTCCCATCTTGGTCAAGACTGTCTAATTCTGAACTCAGAAAAAGCTTCCCAAGAAACGGTAAATTCTTCGGTTGTAGAAGAGAATGGGGAAGTTAAAGAACTTCATCCCTGCAAATATTGTAAAAAGGTTTTCGGAACTCATACCAATATGAGACGGCATCAGCGCAGAGTTCATGAACGCCACCTGATTCCCAAAGGTGTGCGCCGAAAAGGGGGCCTCCTTGAGGAGCCACAGCCGCCAGCCGAGCAGGCCCCACCTGCCCAGAATGTCTATGTACCAAGCACAGAGCCAGAGGAGGAGGGGGAAGCAGATGATGTGTACATCATGGACATTTCTAGTAACATCTCTGAAAACTTAAATTACTACATTGATGGTAAAATTCAAACTAACAATAGCACTAGCAACTGTGATGTGATTGAGATGGAATCTAATTCGGCGGACTTGTATGGCATAAACTGTCTGCTCACTCCAGTTACAGTGGAAATTACTCAAAGTATAAAGACCACACAGGTCACTGTAACAGATGAACTTCCTAAAGAGCCGTCCAGCAGCACAAACTCTGAGTCCAAGAAACGGAGGACTGCTAGTCCGCCTGTGCTCCCCAAAATTAAAGCTGAAACAGACTCTGACCCCACGGCACCCTCCTGTTCCTTAACTCTGCCTCTTAGTGTGTCAACGACCGAGGCGGTGTCTTTCCATAAAGAGAAGAGTGTTTATTTGTCGTCAAAGCTCAAACAGCTTCTTCAAACCCAAGACAAGCTAACTCCTCCTGCAGAAATCCCTAAGTTAGGTCCCGTATGTGTGTCCGCTCCTGCATCCATGTTACCCGTGACCTCTAGTAGGTTTAAGAGAAGGACCAGCTCTCCACCCAGTTCTCCACAGCATAGCCCTGCCCTTCGGGACTTTGGGAAACCAAGTGATGGAAAAGCAGCGTGGACAGATGCAGTCCTGACTTCGAAGAAACCCAAATTAGAAAGTCGTAGTGACTCACCAGCGTGGAGTTTGTCTGGGAGAGATGAGAGAGAAACTGGGAGCCCTCCTTGCTTCGATGAATATAAAATATCGAAAGAGTGGGCATCTGGTCCTACTTTCAGCAATGTTTGCAACCAGCAGCCACTGGATTTATCCAGCGGTGTCAAACAGAAGGCTGAGGGTACAGGCAAGGCCTCTGTCCAGTGGGAATCTGTACTGGACCTCAGTGTGCACAGAAAGCCTGGTAGCGACTCTGAAGGCAAGGAGTTGAAAGAGAACCATTCAGTGCAGCCTTCCTGTGGTGCTGTGAAGAAGAAGAAGCCAACCACCTGCATGCTCCAGAAGGTTCTTCTCAATGAGTATAATGGCATTGATTTACCCGCAGAAAATACTCCTGATGTGACCAGGAGCCCAAGCCCTTGTAAATCTCTAGATGCCCAACCAGATCCTGACCTTGTTCCTGACTCTGGTTTCTCTGCCCCTGCCATCGAATCATCTGCTGAAGTTTGTCCTTCGTCACCTCCCCTACAAACATCTTCCTCATCTTCTGGTCAGCTGCCTCCTCTCCTGATCCCCACAGATCCCTCTTCCCCTCCACCCTGCCCTCCTGTGTTAACTGTTGCCACTCCGCCCCCTCCCCTCCTTCCAACCGTCCCTCTTCCCGCCCCTTCTTCTAGTGCATCTCCTCACCCATGTCCCTCTCCACTCTCGAATGCCACTGCCCAGTCTCCTCTTCCAGTTCTGTCCCCAACAGTGTCCCCCTCACCCTCTCCCATTCCTCCTGTGGAGCAGCTCATGTCTGCTGCTTCACCTGGTCCTCCAACACTTTCTTCTTCCTCCTCCTCTTCATCGTCCTCCTCGTCCTCCTCCTCTTCCTCCTCTTCATTCTCCTCTTCATCTTCCTCCTCATCCCCTTCGCCACCCCCTCTCTCAGCAGTGTCATCTGTTATTTCCTCCGGAGATAATCTGGAGGCTTCTCTCCCCACAATAACTTTCAAACAGGAGGAACTAGAGAACGAAGATCTGAAAGCCAGAGAAGAGCCCCAGTCTGCAGTTGAACAGGATGCTATTCAGGAAACATTCAGCAAAAACTTTATTTGCAATGTCTGTGAATCACCATTTCTTTCCATTAAAGATCTAACCAAACATTTATCTATTCATGCTGAAGAATGGCCCTTCAAATGTGAATTTTGTGTGCAGCTTTTTAAGGATAAAACAGATTTGTCAGAGCATCGCTTTTTGCTTCATGGAGTTGGGAATATCTTTGTGTGTTCCGTTTGTAAAAAAGAGTTTGCTTTCTTGTGCAATTTGCAGCAACACCAGCGAGATCTTCACCCAGACGAGGTGTGCACACACCATGAGTTTGAAAGTGGGACACTGAGGCCCCAGAACTTCACGGATCCCAGCAAGGCCCACATGGAGCATATGCAGGGCTTGCCGGAAGGCCCTTTGGAAACTTCCAAAGAGGAGGAAGAGTTAAATGATTCCTCCGAAGAGCTTTATACCACCATAAAAATAATGGCTTCTGGAATAAAGACAAAAGATCCAGATGTTCGATTGGGTCTCAATCAGCATTACCCAAGCTTTAAACCACCTCCATTCCAGTACCATCACCGCAACCCCATGGGTATTGGTGTGACGGCCACAAATTTCACTACCCACAATATTCCACAGACTTTTACCACTGCCATTCGCTGCACAAAATGTGGAAAAGGTGTTGACAACATGCCTGAGTTACACAAACATATCCTGGCATGTGCTTCTGCAAGCGACAAGAAGAGGTATACTCCGAAGAAAAATCCAGTACCATTGAAACAAACTGTGCAGCCCAAAAATGGAGTGGTAGTCTTAGACAACTCTGGAAAAAATGCCTTCCGGCGAATGGGACAGCCCAAAAGACTGAGCTTCAGTGTTGAGCTCAGCAAAATGTCACCGAATAAGCTCAAATTAAATGCATTGAAGAAGAAAAACCAACTTGTACAGAAAGCGATCCTTCAAAAAAACAAATCTGCAAAACAGAAGGCTGACTTGAGGAGCTCCTCAGAGTCGTCCTCCCACATCTGCCCCTACTGCAGCCGAGAGTTCACTTACATTGGGAGCCTGAACAAGCACGCGGCATTCAGTTGCCCCAAGAAACCCCTCTCTCCTTCCAAAAAAAAAGTTTCTCATTCATCCAAGAAAGGTGGACACTCATCACCTGCAAGTAGTGACAGACACGCCAGCAGTAGTCACCGCAGACGGACAGCGGATGCTGAGATTAAGCTGCAGAGCACGCAGGCACCCCTGGGCAAGACCCGGGCCCGCAGCTCAGGCCCCGCCCAGTCTTCGCTGCCCTCCTCATCCTTCCGGTCCAGGCAGAATGTCAAATTCACAGCTTCAGTCAAGTCCAAAAAACCAAGCTCCTCCTCTTTAAGGAACTCCAGCCCTATAAGAATGGCCAAAATCACTCACGTGGAGGGGAAAAAACCCAAAGCTGTGGCCAAGAATCATTCTGCTCAGCTCTCGAGTAAAACCTCCCGGAGCCTGCACGTGAGAGTACAAAAAAGCAAAGCTGTTTTACAAAGCAAGTCTACTTTGGCAAGTAAGAAAAGAACAGACCGGTTCAATGTAAAATCTAGAGAACGGAGTGGGGGGCCGATCACCCGAAGCCTTCAATTGGCAGCTGCCGCCGACCTGAGTGAAGGCAGAAGAGAGGACGGCAGTGCCAGGTCGGAGCTGAAGGACTTCAGGTAAGCTCAGCCGGGAAGGTGAGGACTGCAGGAGAAGAGTAGACTGACCCAGGGGGGTTTTGTTTTCTTTTCCTGTAAAATTTTGAGCTGAGCATTCAGAAGAAGTAGCTGTTGAATAAGTTGTAGGCATAAAAGGCCACTGCTTGGGCCACTGTTCTGGCCACCATAGAGATGAATAATTAGATTTTCTTTCAGACTCACAAAGTGGTGCCATTTCTTTAATAGGGCCAGGTATGAATTGAATTTGAAACCACGGAGAAGCTCTCAAAAAGTTCCCTATGTGAAAAGATGAAGTTCTGTCAAACTTCCTTCATGTCTTGGGTAATATATCAGCATCACTTTATTATTCCCTGATCATAGATCATTTGTAGGTTAAGGTGGATCATGAGTTCATTGGCAAACCACCTTGCAACCTTGCTCAGAAGTTCTGTGACGTAAGCATTAGGGACTTGGACAGCTTTTATTATCCATGCTTTCTTTTACTACCAGTGTTTGAATTTTAAGAGCTTAACATGGTGGACAAAACAACAAAGCACCATGCTTCTTTAAAATGCCTTGTGCTCCCTCCTCCCCATCCCCCGTTTTCAGCCCTAAGGTAGTAAACAAGCCAGGTTCCAAAGGGGAAGAACAACTAGTGTGGGTGCTTGGAGCTTCAGGGAGGCAGGACCTTGAGGTTCTTTCAGGCATGCGTGGTGCCCTGGTAAGTCAGCTTCATTGGTCAGTACCCTTTGCCCCAGTAGTCTTTCATCTTGGATTTGTAGTGGTGTATGTGCTTACTCCACGTTCTCCATACCTCCATATGGTAATCCCTATTCTCAGTTGACAGATGGAGTGAGAGGGCTGTGGTTAATTTTGTTACATCGACTTCTCAGATTTTCTGAGTCACTTAACAGTGAGCTGATGTGCATTCTCAGAATTCCTGCTGTTTCACAAACAATACCTACAGGTCAGCTTCATGTGAGGTCGTTATCATCAGCTGGCATCTCTGCAAATACTTTGTAGCCTTGTCTTTTTAGAGTATGGAGCAGCCTGACCCAACTCTGAGCTTTCATGGCTGCAATTTTTAGTGTCTGGAGATTCTTTGGTGTTTAAACAAATAAAGGGTAATTGTGGAGTGATTGCTGTTCTGGAGAGATCATGAGGAAACAAAGGGGCTGTTGTCACTGCTTAGTTGATCAGATAGGATTCTTGGTGCCTGTGTGCCTAAATTGTGGCTAACTAAAGATGTAGGGAGGTCAGTAGCCCTGAATGATTTGAATGATTTACTGTAGGATTAAGGGATCAAATTTTTCAAAAGCTACTTTATAAAAGTATTAAATATTCAGTTGCTGTAGATGTGATTAACATGTGGTCTCTGGCGATGGTATCGTGGAGGTTGACCCTGGTGAGGATAAGCCCTGTCAGCCCTCAGAGCTGCCTCCCTCTGGCAGTGTAACTGCATACCTGCATGTGCTCAGTGTGTTCTGACAATTCCATACCAACAGGGCATAGTCAGAATGAGTCCTTTTTAAGTTGCTGAATATGCCACTATTCGTCACAGATTTGAAATACTTTCCAGGTGGTTAGAAGATAATGTATCCTTTTTGTCTCTGATATTAGCTAAAAGAATCACTTTGTACTGGGTCTCATTTATACAGTTCAGGAATAAGATTGAGATGAAAAAATAAATAAATATTTTAAAGAAAAGTCCTCTGAGTAACAGCATTTGTGAAGTTCATCAATTTGCTGCTAGCCTCTTAACCTTTAAAGTGACTAAAAGGTGATTGATCTCTCTTCTCTCCTCCAGTTAATCTTAATCATTTTGCTTTGTTTGGTAGTTGACAGGGTTATGTTGCTGGAGTGAAATTTGGCCTAAAGGGAAGCACAGAGAGTCAGATGAGAAAACATTGGTGTTGCCTTAACTGGTAGACAGTAGCAGCAGGCATCCCTGGTAGTTGTTCTACCTCTTGTGAGTTGCTGGAACTGTGCGGTGGAACTGTGCAGGACAGGGGTGTTATCCAGGGTGCTTACCAAGTGACCATAAATTCGTGAATTGTCTTTGGGAATTAAAAAACAAATGTTCAGCAGAACATCATATATCGAATATCTGGATTCAAGAGTGGCTCTTTCTTCAAAGAGTTTATTTTGGTCTTCATGGTACTTCATAGGGACTGGAATTCCTAAATTTCAGACTTGGGGCATGTGTGTGCGATTGCCGTTAATGTCTCACCTAGGACTGTTCCAGGGGAGCGCTTGTCCCCAGTTTGTTTGTTTGTTTTACATTGAGAAGAAGTTGTTTTACTTACAGTCTTCCTGTTTTAGTGTATTGCTACTTCTAAATTTTGTTCAGAGGTGATTCCATCTATTACATGTTGAGAAGTACTTGCTTTCACTCAGTTTTTGGTGGTTCTGCTTTTCTTACCCCGTTGTGTTCTTGGGGTCTTGTTAGATCTGGCAGTGCATCCTCTTCCTTACACAGCCCCAGCGCTTAAGAAGCTTTACACTGGAAAGCCAGTTGAGGGTTCCATAGTTTTTTAAGTGTCTGCCTGCCACCAGCCTCGAGAATGTAGCTGGGTTTTTCAGGTAACACTCAGGGATTGGCAGTTTGTTGGTCACTTCATGGAGCACAGCAGCCATCGTGCCTTTCAGGCGATAAAGAAACCATGGGTTCCAAATGCTTTCCTTAGGACAGAGCAGGAGAAGAGTGTGATGTCACCATCGCTCAGCTTCTAGTCCCTCTCTTCCTTAATGCCATGGCCCACCCTGAGTTAGTGGTTACTGCCTACCTTGGGCTTCTGGGGGGGGGGGGCGGGCACTGAATTCAGATGTGGTGCTGGGTTTAGTTCCACAGCTCTGGCAAGACCCCAAGAGAAGGAAAGGGATACATTTTTCTACTCACCTCTCACCCTTTTTGCCCAGGGAGTTTTTCCATTTTTTAACACTCCAAGAGAAGCAACACTTCTCTTTGATACCGAGTACCCTCTGCAGCCAGTCCAGGAAAATGTCAAGATCAGAGAAGCAAAATAAAATGCCTGGCCAGGTTTTTCCCATTTACAGTGACCTGAGTCAAAAACATAGCACCTATTTCTCCCATCTCTGTTTCTGCTGTCTCACTTAGAAATGGTCCTACTGGCAGTTTTCTTAGCATGTATGTATCTTTGGAGTGGGACACCTGAGTTCTTGAATACCTTCAGAGTCATTTATGTGTTGCTGTCTTTGATAACATTTGTCTTATGGTCGCCTCACCCTTTTCTTTAACATGGTCAATTCATACAAGATTATGTTATGTTGTCATTTATCTTCAGTTTTCTTATTTTCTAGGAACTTCCTGTAGAAAAGCCCCCCAAACAAAACAAACCTTAATTGACTAAAAGATATTGCATGCTCAACTTAGGATAAACACTACGGCAAAGGATACGAAATCTACCAAGCTTGCAAGACCAGTTGAAGCTGACTCAAAAATCGTAACACAGTTGATTGCCGGCTGGCTTCTTGTTGCCCTGGTTAGAGTCAGGCATCTGCTCCTTCAGTGGTGCCCAGTGTGTGTGCTGGGCTCCCAGGTGACTGAGATCCAAAGAGAAGGGCCCTGTAAGATGGGCTAGATGAACTGGCTCCTCGTCATGGGACTGTAACTCAGATGTGAGTGTGGCCCTTGATTTTGGCACATAGCAGAGAAGGGAATGATTTGAACTTAACCTTGCAAAGCAAGTTCTCTATTTTATCAGTAGTTTATTGTAGATTTCAGGGATGACAGATTCGGATGCACTCATTTTAAAACTTTTCCTCACACACCAGCTCTTGATGCCTTTCTTCTAAATGAATTGTAGACAGAGAGAGGCATTTAGCTGATCTCTTACCCCCCAACCCCCTGCCCCCTTTTTAAATCACAAGCAGATTGCCAGCATAACCGAGAGGAAACCAGATTGGATATGGACTCTTTTTTTATGCCTCTTATAGTGTCATGTTTATATATCCTAATGGACATTATCCTCTCAAATGGTTATCTGGCACTAATTTATAACTATTATATTATGAGAGACTATGTAGCAATATATCAATGCACAGATGCATCCAGGCCTGTAGAGATGTGTGTGTCTACATGTAAGTATAAATGAATTTACATACCAGGTTTTATACTGCAGTCTCTAATAGAGATTAAAATAACAAATTGGCCTCTGCCAAAGTATATGAGTATCATTTCTCCATTCATTTTTATGCCTCCTCCCAAATTAATGACTGAGTTCGTGGAAAATGGCTAGATTTTATTCATACTGTTTTTTGTTCTCAACTTTAAAAAGTAATCTACCTCTTAAAATTTGTAGTTTAATACTTGTTTAGTGAGTTTGTGCCACTTTAACCCTTTCACTATCATTCCCATTTTGTTACATTTCTGTTATGGGGACTTTATGTTGAAATGTTGTATAAAGCATTTGTAGCAGTTTAAAAATAAAATATTTAAAATTATTTAAATTGTTTTGGACGCTTCAATTGTATTATATGTGATTTACATTTTGCATTTTTGTTTGCATTGTTAATCTGGAGAGTGTTCCTGTATGAAGTTCGCTGTTAGTTATTTTATTGCTTCTTGTTGGAGAGTGCTATAAAAGACTATTCTAATGAAAACATTAAAATTTACAATTTGATATACAAAAGGGGTTGTTCTTTGATTTTAACCAATGTAGCCTTGAGAAAGAAACAGAGGGGAATTAATTATAAACAAGACTGCTGTTTGATACTTTCCCCTTCTAGCATGAAATATATCATTGGCTTGACAGATGTATAAAAAAATTTTTTTATGCTATTGCTGCATATACTTTAATAAATAGGGAAGAATTTGAATGATACGTTTTATATCCTTGTAACCAATAAAAACTTTCTAAAAACTTGTGAAAGGACTGCATTTTGTACGTAATTGGGAGCACATTAGAGGGAAGGTGAGAGTACTTAGAGGACCAGTCTTGCTTTACACAGTGTGGTCTGTAGTCACCCCCTGGGGCCTCTTTTCACCTGTTTCTGTCTGGCATCAGCTGGACATTTGTGATTCCAGTTGTCATGTCCTATCTAGAGGGTAGACATGTAGTAGGCCAGTGGTGCCAATAGGTACCCTGTGAACTTAATTTGGTAAGAGTGACATAAAGGGCTTCATGTACAGGGTCATAGTTTCCTTTGTGCTTGCTGACAATTTTGTTTGTGGGTGATTTATTTTTATGGATCTCCTAAGAATGAATGGAAGTGGTAACATTTGGGTTGAAAGTCCTTTCAGAATGGTGTTTTCTACAGGTGAAAGTGGTTGGATATGAGCAGTGAACTGCAGTCCGGCACCGGAGCAGGTCTTGCTCTCACACTGTCTCCTTCCTCCTCTGGGGACGGTGGCTCCCTCAGCCTTCTCTGGCCAGTGGTGCTCCTATGGTGGGAAAACCCAGGGAGGAGAGACGTGGATGGAAGTTTGGAAATGGTCTTCAGTCTGAGTTTTAAATGCTGTGCTCGCTCGAGCGCTGAACACTCGGCAGTGCCCTGTGGGGTCGGGAGTGTTGTGAGGTGGAGAGCACTCCTCCTGTGGGAGCCAGACCCGGTCTCCCTCCTGGCCAATCTGCCTGCCATTCTTCTGTAGCTGTGCCTTCAGTCACAAGCCTGCTCTGGTAGGTTAACTTGGGAGACCTGTGTTTGCTGTGTGTATAGAATGGGAAGGGGCCTAGATGGCCATAGTGTTTACTGGAATAGGATGCTGTCAGACCCCACACTAGACAGTGGGCTGAGTCTCTCGTTGGCCTTCAGTGTCCCCAACCCTGGCCGTAGTGCCTGTGAGCTCAGGAATGAAGATGCTTACTCACTGAAGGAGGGAGTCCTCAACAAATTATTATATCTGATCAGGAAGGAACTCTGCCCCATTTTGGTTGCTTTTAAAAAGTCTTCATAGGGTTGAACTTTTTTTTTTTTTTTTTTTAAATTAAAAAGCTAAGCACTGATAAAGCCTTCTGTCACTCACATTGTTTGAAAGCATCTCACAGCGTTTCCATTGATAAATCCCTGTCTGGGCTCACGGGGCTTCAACTTGAGAGTTACAGGTTCTTTCTAGTGGTTAATCTAGTCAACTTGGTTTACTGAGTGTTTAGTAAAGGACAGGCTGTGTTTGAGGTACTTAGGCTATATCTGTGGACAAAATGGACAAAATCCCAACTTCTGAGCTTATGTTTGCTTGGTGTCCTTTTTCCCTTTTTGATGCTTTGTATTTGGAACCTCCTCACTTTGTCACAAGTCCCCAAAGATAGGTGGTTGGGAAGGTACTTGCTTCGTGTCTGAGGGTGGACATCTACAGGACTGCAGGCCTGTGATACTTAAGTCAAGGTGACACCAAAATAATGGTTCATTGGATGCATTTAACATTTCATTTATGTGAATTTTGATTTGATATTGAAGCTCACTTTGTATAGATTGACTTAGCCATTAAAAATAAATTTATAAGTGCAGTTTACCTTGAAGATGTATTAGAGCACAGGTAGGTGAGAAGAGGGTTGACATGGACATGCAGGCCACATTGAAAGTGTGTTGAGGACTTGACTGGTGGTTGGGAAAGATCTGCTATTCACTGAAGGAATCCCCAACAAATTCTTTATCTGATCAGGAAGGACCTCTGGCCCGTTTTGGTTGCTGTGTGAACCTTGCAGGCCCAGCAGGTCCTGGGCTGCTGCTTCAGGATCTGCTCTCAGTGAAGGTTCTAGTACAGCACTGCTGAGGTGTATTTGAAAGTGTGGACAGAGCATTCTCAGAGGCTTGAGGAGCCGCAGCGCTGCCCTCGAGCCCAGTGCTTTCTGAACTTCACCCAGAAAGCCTGTCCCAGCTACTTGTTTCAAGGCCCTACAGCCAGTTTTAAAAATTAGACTATTTAGATGAATTGGAAACAGGGTTGGGTAATCTTTTTAAAGGCTCTGGATAATTTCAATGCACACGTTTCTGAATTTATATTGGAAAAAGAATGTGTGCAGCTCTGAAGTGCTGTGGTGTCCCTGTGTTCCTCTTTGAGCCTCACAGTGTCACATCGTCCTTATACTCGCTGCTGAGCAGGCCCTGCTGCTGTTCTTGCTTGTCTGAAGGTTGTGGGGATGATCTCGAGAGCTGGGCTCAGAACTGTGCACTGTTGGCAAGAAAAGGGACAGGGCCTGTCGTGCAGCTTCTCCTTGGCTGATTCACGCCACAGTCAGCACTGTTGAGCGCCACCTCAGGTGCTGTTGGACCTTTCCTGCTGCAGGGCCTGCCTTGCTGGCAGGATCTTAAGTACACAGTGCTGTGGAATACAAAGAAGAGAGATGAGGTCCAGATTGTTGGGAAAAATGACATCTGCGTTGCCATTAAAATTCTAGACAAAATTAAAACATTCAGTGTCCAAAAAATGGAACAAAATTTGAGATTTGTGAGTGGGTGTGATGTAAGGAAGGAAAATGTAAACTGCTCCGCAGTTGATCTTCTGAGCCTGTGTCCCCGGCTCCCTGTTCACCCCCGCCTCCCCTGGTTCACCCCACTTCTTTCCCTGCTGGCCACTCTTATGCTCCTTCCTTCTCCAGAGTTGTTGGAAATGATCTAAAGAGATTTTGAGTGAATTTAATGTGGTTTTTGAGTGCTTGCTGCATGCTCCATACTGTGTTAACCATTTTTGAAGCTTGAATCTTCACCGAAACCCCGTGAGGTTGGTGTCGTTCGCATGCAGGGAGCAGACTAGGAAGTGCCCAGGGCACCCGCAGCTCTCAAGTGCAGGTGGAGATCTGAACTGTTTCCGGGCCACACTCTCCTGTTGATCATCTGTAGGTTTTTAGAGTTTGATTTCTTCTATTTGCAGAATACAGGCCTTGATAGCTTCTCAATTAAAGACTTTGCGACATTTGGGACTGAATGGGGGCAGTTAGGTTATGGGTGAGGTTGTCTTCCTGGTCATGGAGGCTGCTCGTTAGTCGGGGGCTGCGAGAGGCCAACTTCCATCCACTTTCCCTCTTCACAGTGGAATATGCCTCTCTTCCCCTCGCGGGGTGGCGGGTAGCTCAGTCCATTGGTTTTTAAAGCCTCTGCCTCATCAATAGTCTGACTGTTCAGCAGAAACCAAGCTCATTGTCACGCTGCCCTTTGGTCTTGAAAGTGATTCAAAGAAGGCAGCCGGGAGTCATCGCGAGTCCCGGGTGTTGCTGGAGACGTGACCTTCTGAGTCATAATTCCAAACGAGGCTGATCCAGGCCCACCTCCCACCTCAGAAAGTAGTGCCTTGGGTGCCATAAAACATCTGCCCATAGCAAGTTGTTTTCAAAGTATAGGATTAGGGCTTGGAGTGGGCGTGCAGACTTCATTTGCTTTCTGGATTAAGACTAAGAATTGAAAAAAACATCCTGAATGCCGTAAATAAATTACATTATGAAATTACATTCAATTGTGAGCTAATAAAAGGGGGCTTGGAAATACTTTAATTATTAGAGTAAACCCGTTGGCTATTGCGGTAGTGGGACTTGTATGTGCTTGCGTTTTCCACCTCTCCTGTGCCGACTGGATTTCTTTTCAATTCTTGCTAATAGAAAGTGATAGGAAATTCAGGCAGAAGCTGCAGATGAACATATTCTGGAAGACAGTCCCCAAGTGTGCCTGTCCATGTCCAGCTGACCATTTCTGTTTTTTTTTTTTTTTTTAAATGTTAATGAAGTCCCAAGAAAAGCCCTAGGCCCAAAGTCCATCCCAAATAAATGTTAATGAACAGCCCCAGCAGATTTGAAGATAGCCCATCCCAAAGAAGTGTTTTGTTTTGTTTTTAGAGAGAATTTTTTTTAACATTTTTATTTTTCGGCGGACACAGCATCTTTGTTTGTATGTGGTGCTGAGGATCGAACCCGGGCCGCACGCATGCCAGGCGAGCGCGCTACCATTTGAGCCACATCCCCAGCCCCAGCTGACCATTTCTGAATGCCCCTCGATGGGTGCTGCCAAGTAACTCAGTGAGTGGAGCCAGAACTGGAGTGTCACTTCGTAACGGCAGAGTCTTAGGATCTTAAAGGACAGTTTGTGTTCTGAGCAGGAACATATTTAAACTGAAAACACTTCCATATCAGTGTTTAGACAGGAGCCACTGTATACCCTAGAATTCCACTTATATAGCTACTGAGGATTAGCATTAAGTCTAAACGTAAAACAGGGCTCGTGTTAATAAGACCTGGAACTTTCTGCACAGGTAAGTGAGTAATGAAAGGGTATTTCGGCCATAGGATACAGTTGTGGTGATTTTATTTTTTAGCGTAGAATTTCAATTTAAAGTAATTGGATTTTTTTAGTACTTCATTTTGCCAAAATATAATAGTTTAATATTCTTCATTGGAATGAAGTTATTTAAAACTCAGATGGCTTCAATTTTCCTTGCAGTTACATTCTCTTCTCACTTGCTTATAATCACATCCAGTCCTTGCCAGCCCAGCGAGAGTGCAGGAGCATTTTCAGATGGCTTCTATTGCCAAGCTATTATTGGATTTGTGAATTTGGGCACATTCTCCTGTAGTGATTGAGTCGGTCAGCCATTCAGAAAACGGCTTCACACTGTCAGCCTGGATCGTCAGGGTGTCTGGCTGCAAGTCTTATGGACTCTGGTCAGAGAGCAGCCCCGTGTACTGGGACTTTGAGAGGACCCTCGGGATGCAGCAGGCCTCTGTGAAGGGAGCTGAGGGTATAGACTGGCCGTTCTTACAGGAGGGGCTGGCTCTATTCTGAGTGCATCCCATGGCTTAACTGATTTTAAGATCTTCCTACCTGAACAAAATAATGTTCTCATTTACAAATAAAGAGGGGCAACATCACAGCTGTGTAGAGGGGAACCCCAAACATGCACCTGATTCCAGAATCACTGCACTCAACTGCAGCATGAAAGC